ATTTTTAAGAAAATCTTTCAAGTTCACAGTCAAGATTTTCTACATTATAATTATTACATCAATTTTCAATTTGTCCAATAGATTAACATTGTATAATATATTGTATGAAGATAACACATAAGTGAATTTATCCATAATATACTGTTGATCCAATAAATCAATTTGCTATGCTAAATAAACAACTTCTTGTCACTGTTTTAATTCACATTGTTAGTCTTTTTTGCTACAACTTTAATAAATTGGAATTTTCCCTTTACCTATTTCGTTCAGTATTTATGATTTCGTTTCAAATCGATGTTTCAGGTGACATCTATTTCTCTCGCAAAAATGCAAAAATGTTTTATATTTTTAAACGAAATATTTATGAATTTCGTCCTATTTTTGCTGAAATCTCGTGCAAAAACCTACGAGACAATCTGTAGAATATGAAGATCTGTAGATATTTTTAATCGAACGGAAACATTGTTTTGTACAATGAATATTCTTGTGTAGGAGAAACATTTATTATCATCCGCTGGAAACTGGTACCATGAGAGATATATTTCGTCAACCGTTTAATAATTGCTTGCTAAGCTGCGTCGCGTCCACTTATTTCGCCATTCTGGTAACGATGGGATTGATCATTTATGCGGCGAAAACTGTTTTACACAACGAGGAAGCAAACCGCGTTGAAATTGGGGAAGCTGCGCTCTGGTGCATCAGCATAATGTGTATGCAAGGTCTGTTCTACCCTTAAATGATCACTGTTGATTATAGTTGACCTACTAGTTAGAAGATCGCAAAGCTCCTATCTTTTACAATTACAGACTTGAATGTATGTAATATATGTAATATGTAAGTTACAGGTTTTTAAGAAGACAGATAAATAAATTAATTTAGTTAATTTACAATGGAATTTTGTGATTTAAAAATCGTAGATGTTTAGAAAGAATTTTAGAAAAGAATTCCGACTATAGGTTCTGCATGGACACCATGGAATCCATCAGGGAAAACAGTGTTATTATTTAGTCTGATGTTCGCTTTAGTAACATACAGTGCCTATGCTGGTTTTATTACTTCAATTTTATCGGTGCAGGCCAGCGGCATCAAATCTATTACCGATATATTGTCACACAATTTTGAATTAGGCTACAGCATCACCGATGACGAATACATCAGAGTGAGTTTATTAAAAAGTTTAATAAAAGACGATGTCAAATTTGCGACTGTCGAAGTATTTTTCTTGTTTTCTTGTTACGCAGAATGTGAATGATAGTAATCTCCGGCAGTTATATATAAGAGCGTATAACAGCCGAGAATCTAAATTGGATACTATTTCTGGCCTTACAAAGGCTGTGAAAGGACATTATGGCTTTTTCGTAAGTGCAACTCTTGCACGACGCGCCCTCAGATCCACTTTGATCCAAGAACGATGTACTCTGAAAGAATTGCCTCTTCCGCAAACGTTCACAACGGTGGCTCTGCCGATGGCTAATTCTTGCCCTTATAAAAAAATTATTAATTTGAAGTACGTGACCGAAAAGATTTATTACATCACTGATTGTAAGAAGAATGTAGATGATCTTTGACATGTTCTCCTTTTTCTTTTCAGTATTCTGAAAATACGAGAACGAGGCGTCCTGAACAGAATAACAGAACGAATGTTACCAGAGATGCCTCGATGTAAATCGCCGACCACATTTCACAGTGCCAGACTGGCCGACGTTTACTCCGCTTTTTTCATCTTGATCGCCGGAAGCGTATCGGCCGTTTCCATTTGGGTCGTCGAGAGAATTTGGCACAAGAGGCGACAAATGAAGGAAACGATCGTTCGTGGAATGCGTCAACATCGCTTGATGCCCTCTCACCTGCCGCATCTGCCACAATTACCTCGTTTCTCGCATCTTCCTCATTTGTCGCATTTGCACTCGCGTGAGCATCGTCGGAACAATTTCTCTCTGAAGACGAACGACGAACACTTCGCTTCAAGTTCTGCCGTTCCTACGCACGATTCGCGAGAAGAAATTTCCCGTAGAAAGAATCAACAACACTATATGGATGTGGACGAAGAAATCGATCAACCTCGCCTCGAGCCGAAATTTTTCAGCTGGAGAAAACGGAATAATTTCAAAGGAACGGGACTGTCGATAAAGATGCTCGACAAAAGTCAGAAGAGTAGATCCAAGGCAATAGATAACACGACTTTCCCTTTTCATCAGTAACTGGAAAGGATGCTACGTTTAAAAAATTTATCTGCTCATCCTCCAAGAACGACTATTGTCATATTTTCAAAAAGTCTCTTCAGTTTCACATCAGTATTTAAATACTTGAACAACTTCGTCAAGACGTTAACGAAGATACAAATTTGGAAAATTGTAAAATTATAGACATTTTTAATACACTGGTCGATGTAGTACTACACAAGTTAGAAATGAAATATTTTTGTGACAAAGCTGTCTTTTGAGTTGAACAAAGATAACTTAAATTATATCTTATATATGTAACATGTACATAACATGGTGTGAAGATATGTTGGATTATAACTCGTGACGATTTAGATTATTTTATTCACTGATGTGGCAAGTAATTGAATCTTGAACTTTTGGCAGACTAAATTTCGTTATGTGTATGAGAAATTGCTTCTGATCTCTAAGTTGCGACAATTGTCTAAGACTAAACTGAAGTTAAGAATTTCTGAATGGATTTATTCTGTTTGACTAACTTCAACAAATTCTTTCTAACTAATTTGTCTAGGAAATTTTCGTCTCTCCTTTTAAAAAAATTTCGAGGAAGATTAAGTCGAAGGACATGTTGAAACCAATCAGGAAGTATGATTTCAGAATTTTTTGTTTGTCACTCACGCAAGATGTGGCAGAAACGATGAATGAGTCCATCATCTATTCGGGAAATCGTCCTGTCATCGCTTCTGGCAATGCAATTTCTTATATGACAAAAAGAAACTTTGCATTCGAAAATTGAATAGATAAATGGAAACTGAAACCTATGGAAAATCTGATTATAAATTATCTAGTCACGACGAGAGATGTGCACCTAATGTTTAACTTAAAGAAGTAATTTTGAATGTTCATAAATTATTATGCACCGTTCATAAATTATTATTTTAATATTTAAAATATTTTTGCAAAAGTCGATTTATATTCAAGAAAAAGATGTTAGATGATTTTAGAAGATAATTAAATGTGCATCATTTATGTGTAGAAATTTCTAATGTTTTCTGAGCTTCGCATACGAGTAAGATAAATTTTTCGATGTTGTTATAAATATTTAAATATTTCTTTTACTTTCATCATGCATACCATTTTATGCAAATGTATATTGCATAAAATGGTTTTTCGTCCATGTAATGTTAGAATATAAATATTTAAAGTTAGTATTATAAAATACTTTTGTACACTTGTGACATCGAAACCAAGATTTTTTAAAGATCGCGAGTAAAAAGTTTGAAGATCTGTAAACGGAATAATCAAGAATCTATCCCCTCAAATCAATTTCGCTGCCAATTGTTCCTTTGTATATATTCATTTCATTCCTTATAATAACCAGCAGAAACTAACAAACTTGTTATTTTGTCATATCTAACAAACTTGATAGTAATAGCCTAAATTAATCAAGATCAATCAATGTGTGTGAAACATATTACATGCATACATATTATGTATATGCTGTAGTATTATAATTAAAGAAACAAAATACATCAAATGTTATTTCCTTTATTAAAAAAATATTGTCCTCAACCACGTTTTCCATATTTATCGTAAGCTGCTGTGATTTTTACCTTGGCGTTGTAGATTTTAAACGGAGATTTGTACTTTTCCATGTTGCCCATGCTTCTACAATCTCGCAATATACCATGCACGCTTCTAAAAATTATGTAAACGAGTGAGAAACTTTGTTAATAAATATTATGTCATTAAAAATGAAGATTTCATTCCTCGTATTACCGACAAATGATGTTCGACAAATCGAGAAATTTATCATTGTCGTTACACCATTGTTGCCATTGCTGGTACAATGAAACTTCTCCAATTTCATCCAGATAATAATGACAAAGATCGCTCAATCTAAATAAAATTAAAAGAAGTAAGTTAAAAGAAATGTGAAACAGAATATATACTTGTGTTTAATGACCTTTTCCCCCAAAGTCCATCAGCGGATGTGGACACTATAATAGAACCAGGTACTTTATCAGAAATATATCTTTTTCCATTTAGTTCACGAAGGCCGTAGCTGTGAAAAAAATCATAAATCATTTCTCTCTTTTTTTTTTTTCATTAACGAACCATTATTATTATTATATAATGAAATATTTTATTTAATTTTACTTAATAAATTATTATATTATAAAATTATTATTGTATAATACTAAAGAACATTATATAATGTTTAAAATAAAAAAATAATAAAAAATTTCACGCTAAAAGTTTAAAAATTTATGATGGACTGAAATGATTTGGCATCTATAATCCGAGACTTAATGTTAATGAATAGTTTGCATATTGCTGCGTATATACTGATTCTTAGATTACTTAGCAAGCATTTACAATTGAAAAGAATGGTTACAGATAGTTCTCAGAAGAAGTTCAATTTCCGTATCGTTTAAATATGCATTAGGTAATACTTCGTGAACATCCAGCAACGTTTGGTTTATCTGAAAAGTATAAGTTTCGATATTTCTTACATCAAAACGAATATCAATAAATTTTAAAAATTTACATTAAATTTACATTAAAATTATTTTAAATATTGTTACAAAGTTTAACAAATTATGTTCCCATCAGAAGTATTTTTTAGACATATATATGTGTCTAAAAAATATGTGAAAAAAAAGATATAAATAGACGAGATCGATGAAGAAGGATTAACCTTTTCAGCAATGGCAAGGCACATTCCGCATCTGATACAAGCGGAAGAGAAATCGATTTCTATTGTGTCGCACGGCGAACAACAGCGCAAATATGGAATCTTTTGTACTATTCCAAATTCCGTCGAGTCACAGTAATAATAATAATCGGATGTTGTGTTCTGATCGCTTTTACTTAAAGTCTGTTCGTTGTCCCTCCGGCATTTAGCGGATCTTTTTCTACCAAAACCCATTCCATCTGATATTAAAATTAGTAGAAATAGTATTATGATACAGACTTTCATCCCCATTGTTCACTTTCAAATTTTCGTTTTCTGCTCGTTGAATATAGATTCCGAAAAGCTTTCTTTATGTAAAATTTTATTAATTTACGCATTTATCAAAAATTAAACATTCTAAAATAGGTTATTATTCTAATATTTCAAATAGCTAGGGATATCTTGAAACAGAAGAAACAAATTTTGAAGTTTCGTCGGAAATATCTGGGGAGGTACATATATCTCGATGTTATCTTTACTCTCGATAGGTGTCGCCACTTTTGCTGGTGATGTAGGTACGATGATCGATAAATAATAAAGCACTACAAAGGAAAATTTTATAATTTATTTTAACGTTTACATGATACAGAATTTATAATGGATGAATTACGACTGACGACTGTTTATTAATTTCTTATTTACTATTATATATATTCTCGGCAATTTGTTTGTAACTTGGTAACCAATAATTTGTTGGTAATCTCTATGGTAACTTTTTATAAGACTGAATAGATGTCGCTACAGTGATTTTCAATAAACACATGGTATTTCAAGGTTAGAATATTAATCAGAGTAATTCATAGACATGGTAAGACTATTATTAATTTATATCATACGAAATAGACTTTAAAATATTATGAATAGAGTATTTGTTTGAGTGTATTGTTTTTTTAGGCCACTGCAATGAGGAAAGAGTTTTCGAAAGCGAAGAAAATGATACATCCAAATAGCAGAAAGTCTATTGCCATTACAAAAAGAGCCAAAAAGTAAGTTAAATTACTATTAAATCTAGTGGTTTTCTATATATATTTTATCCATTATTTATTCTATATTTTGTATATTAATAACTGTAATAAATGCATACTTTGTTCCAGAATATTAAATAGACAAAAATCAAAAATGGGCGGTTTAATAAAACAGAATTTAATAGGAGAGAAAATGTTATGGATCAAAGAACATATGATTTCAGATGTGTGCCCATACACTCCAGAGTTAACTGCACGTTTGTTAGAAACGTAGGTAAAATAAAAATATCATTAGGTAATATAGATTGTAATGGTAATGATATAATTAGATATAATTTTGTATTAAAGGTATATAGCAAGAAATGATGAAGAAATGGAACAAATTACTATCAAAAGATCTATAGGTACTAAAAGGAGTAGACAGCATGCTAGTAGGGAAGATATCATTAGAATGACCAAAGAAAGAGAACAAGAAGAATATAATACATGTGGAATAGGTAAATACTATAATTAAATTTATTTTTAACATATATTAATGTACAAATTTTCCTCGTATTTCAGAAATTCCTGATATTTTGAATGTAACTCAGTGTGAGATGTTAAGGAATTGGAATGGTGAATTAAAATACATGAGTAATTTTAAATTTAGAAGATTTGGTAAGAAACATTTAAATGAAGCATTACTGAAAGCAAGTAAAGAGTCAAAAGAAAGCAAAGATATGCAAATAAAAATTCAAGAAAAACTAGAAAATCCTTCTAAAGAAATTAAGTCAGAAAACAAAGAGAATTTATTAAATAAATCAACTGATTTAGGTGAAAATAACCAATTGACAGATTGTAATGTGGAAATGGAATAAATTTTATATATATATGTCTTTTTTACTTTCATTCTCTATTTAAAAAGAAAGAAAAACAATAAAAACGAATAATTTTGTTCTTTTTCACATGTGGAATGTTATATGTGGGTTTGTTTGATTCTCATCTCGCATAAAAAATAATGCTGTCAAGAATAAAAAGCATGATGAAAGAAAAAAATATTGTAGATTGTAAAATATTCAACAAAACTGGAACATGTAAATGACTTATGTGCACACCATAAATTCTTAAGTCTCATCTTCACATTTCATCTTTTCTTGTTTTGTTTCGTTCTATAAATAAGAATAGAAATAGAGTAATTACATAAAAATAATGAAAATTTTGATTCAATTGTAAATCAAAATCTTATATTTCAGAAAAAATATATTCAACAAATAATTGTTAAATATGGTTTTAATAGTTGATTTCTTATCTATTCAGAATTGAATAGTTAACCTATATAATCGAATACCTAATATGTAAAATAATAAATTTATAGCATAACATAAATGTAGCTGTATAACAGTTGCAATTGCAAAGAATTTTTCTGAAAGATTTATAGCAAAATACACTCACGTGATAAGATTGAAATGCTTTCCTTTGCTAAATTATTGTTACTGGTTATACTAGTGATATTTATTAGTCAATTATTTATCAATTTTAAGTAAATATTTTTTGACGGAAACAATAAAAAATTTCTTTAGAAATTTAATATATGAATATATTTAAAACATTAAATTTATTTATTTCATTTTAAAAGAAATTTTTAAAATTTAAACAATACATGATGTTCATAGTACAAAGTCATAATAATTTCAAATCAGCTTTTTTATTTTTACTTTATATTTTATTATTTTTTATATTTTAAAGTTAAAATATTTATTGTAATATCATAATAATATTATGGTATTGTATAATATAATGTTTTTTGGTCGAGTAAGAAAATTTTTGCGACGTTCAATTTCGCGCGCATTTATGTAGGTGAAGCTGTGCCGTCTCAACCAATTAGAAACCAGCTAAGCCAGATTTTGGCGGGGAACGTTATTCCACTATTGGAAAGCATGGTGTCAGGATGTGTTCTTTTGTTCGAAGCATTTAATTTAAATTACATAGTACTTCAATTGCTTATTATCCGTCACAAATTACTATTAGGTTTGTTTAATTAATATACGTTTATTTAATAACTCATTAAACATTATTATAATGACATTCTGTACATATAATTTTTTGTATATAGTTTTTCGTTTCCTTCCGTTAATCTATTCGATTGTATCATAAGCTTTTGAGATAGAATACGAATTTATTTAATGCTTCATTTTAATATAATTTATTCTGGTTTTGTAGTTTTATGATTTTTGTTTTTTTTGTGCAGATCATTGGTTGATAGCAGAGATGGCTTGAATTAATACAGATTACGTTATAACCGCTTCAATGGTATTTCAGGCAGATTCAATAATATTTGATTTAATCTAAACAGACATATGTATGTACATATATCTATTGTCTTTCTATTGAACCATCGATGATAAGTATTTGATTTCTATTAAAACATAATTTTATAATTTCTAAAATATTGAGACGGAATCAGAAATTCAGTTAATTAAAGAAACAATTAGAAATACAGTTCAAATTAATTTTTTGTTTCAAGTCATTTTTTGGATTCAATTTGTATTGTATTGTAAAATAGAATTTTTCATGTAAGTCAACATGGTCATTCGAAATTTTCAATAGCAATCTCGTTGTATTACTAAGTTAACAGTTTTTTAAATTCATGAGGGCGCCACTATAGCAAGTACGTCCATGTTTTGATTTAAAAGTAGCCGCGGTTTTCCGACGATGCTACTCTTGGTCATTTCATCTAGAAGAAATCTTTATTTTTATGATTTTTATAGAATTTCTTTAATATTTAATATTTAATTTCATTAATGTAATTTTGTTTCATTGACAAAAAACTTATAATAATTAGATATAAAAAAAACAAAAGTATTTTCTGGAGTAAACACTCGCCATTCTCCCACCTTCTTTCGTTAATGTAGTTTTATTTTCAGAGAATTTTTGTGATCGCGTGCAATGCGATCGATAGAATCAGTGTTTGTAGCGTAATGTTTCTTAATATTTTTTAAGAGCAAAAATAGCTCTCATTAAATCCAATAGTCATACGCGAAATTAGAGTCAGTGTTTGTTTGCTGATTACAAATTAAACGGTCGCGTTGATAGATTTTTATTTTTCCTTTTTTCATTTTATATATTCTATTAATATTCGTTTTTGGTATTAAAATCACCTCAAGAAAATTCAGTCTCGCCAGGAGATCAAAAGTGTAAGTATCTTTTATATTGTGTTTCAAATTATGATATAAAACTTTGAATTGTTTTAAGAACAATAATTTTGCTTTGGAACAAATTGTAATATTTTATATTTTATTATAGGTTCATCACAAAGGATTTGCAGAGAGAGATGTAATGAAATTTGAAAAGTAAAAAAATGTGAGTGTCGTGTCATATAGCATTTTAATTAATTCTGGCCTTTATATATAATCAACACTATGTTTCTGGGAACAAATTGTAATATTTCACATTTTTCTACAGGTTTTTTTACAACCTTTACATGTCTCTACTCTGTAATGAATCTGGCAAAAATTAAATCGTCAGTATTTTTGTATATTGCATTTCATTTAATTCTGTTCCTTGCATTTTGTCTTGATCATTGATTAAATAATACTGTTTTTGAGAATTGTAATATTTTGTTACAGATCTTTTCCAGCTTTCTTCCATATAATTCTGTGATTTCTATTTGAAAATCTTTCCGATGTCTTTTCCTGGGTTAGAGGATTAATGACAACATTCTTCCGTCAATTGTGAGTCGCATGCATTTCTGTTCCTCTGATCATTCAATCATGTCGTAGGATGAAAGGTCCAAATCGACACGGGTGATGAGTTGTATACGTAGAATTTTTTACGAGCACAGTGACCATGGGTATTTATTATACCCATGTGTAGTAATATTTTTTTGTTTTTGTTTCATTCATTAGTTCAGGATAGGATTTTCTTGCACGTCGCGTTTTAGATTGTTGACAAATATGAGTATAATATTGATATAATATTACAATGAGAAAGATTGATATGAATAATGATGATAGTAATTAATATATGTATCTATGGTTAAATGATTTTGAATAAGTTGTTAATGATGTTAATGATGACACTTGTAACAATATAATTTTCATATTCAATATGACTTCAATAAAATTCAAGACATGAAATTTGAAACAAGAATTTTAATCGTCCAAGGATGTATCTTTTATGTGCAAGAAGACATTTCGCGACAGGTAGATTTTGGAATCAAAGCAATAAGTTCTGAACACTGCTTTTATGTTTTTAAAGACGTGCTTTGATTGATGAAATCGCCTGAGAATGTTTCCATTAATATTTAACATGTTACATTACTTTTTGAATTTCAATTCGTTTTTCAATAAACATATTAATTGTTCTTTCATTCAAATCATGCATTTCAGTAATTAATGAAATTAACAAAGTAACAAAATAACAAATTAATAATAAGTAAAGTAGATTAAATTTCTAAAATAAACATTAAAATTTCAAATTAAATAAAATAAAGTAAATGTTAGTCCGTTAGATACAAAATAGATATATTAATTATTTTTTAGCCAGGATTTTCAGATTTAATCCCTTCCGTGTTCATTATCAGGACCTCACTCACGTGCTCAGGTGCTACTTGGGTGGGAGAAAGGCAATGGGCATGATGATCATAGCTTATAAGCTTAACAATTTTTAACGACTGATGATGCGTTAGTGTATCGTGCACGACATATTTTCCACATTGTGTGTGTGTGTGTGTGTGTGTGTGTGTGTGTGTGCTTAGGCTGTGGAATTGCGTCGTTTTTATTTATTCTAAACAATATAAATTTTAAACAAAGTTGATAAGCCTTAGAATCGGTACGATAACAATGTATGATATGATATAATAATGACATTTAAATGATATTTAAATTTCGTACCAACTATTTCAATATTCAGTATTGTTTCCTCAGTTAATATATTTATATACGATTATGAATATTTATGCAACGAATTTTTAATTAAAATTGAAATTGAAATATATTATACTTTTGTCTCTCATTTTACGCAATGGTCGCTAGCGGTCGTCAGTCGATTTCAGGGAAATGGTATGTAAATTAGGGTGTGAAGGTTGTGTGTTAAGCTCGGGTGTCGGAGGCGTCCCGGGACGTTCTCTCTAGCGTAGGTTTGCGCCCGAGCGTATGTGTGAGAACCGTGGAGTGAGTGTGTTGGT